TATACATGTAGATTCACGTCACCATGAATGTGTAGTTTTTTATATTTTTTACTAAACGTATTCGATGTAGTCTAGTGTACATACTATAGATATCTTGATATCCAACATATTAAATAAACGCCATGGTGTCTTCGAAGGGCAAGGAAATCTACACTTGTAAATTCAACTTAGTCTCACAAACTGATTCCTATTGTGAAATTGACAATAATGTGCACTTGCAAGAATCTAAAACATAGACTGGAAGAGTCTTATCCCATCAATAACTTACAGTTTATTAGTGCTGCATAGGTCTTAATTGTTTAATTGGTTCTATTTTCGCAGATAGTTAAAAATTAAAACCCAGTGATTCAAAGTTAACAATAGAATGTAGCGTATACCTCAATAACCAATAAATTTGAAATCTAGTGAAAATTCCCTGCAAAATCAAATCTGCTAAAATTAAACCTAATATTAAATATTTATATTAAAATGTTAACCACCATACATCAACCCCATGCACATATATATATACATGTATATAATTAGCTTGTTTACTTGTGTATACAAATGTACAATAGCAACACTGATGGCTATAACCTTTGATTTTAGGGAAAAGCTGTCACCATGGAATGGAATTATCAGATGTCATTGTGTACATTGCTATGCATTCATGTAGTTATTAATATTTATTCATTTATTTCAAACCAATTATCTCCTGTTAATTACCTGCATAATTACATCAAATAATATGTTTCTCTTTTGGACAGTTAGTAGTTACGCAAATTAATTATGCATATGAAATATGGAAATTATATTTAAATTAATTTAGTTTGGGTTGCAATTATTGAATATTGTACAAAACAATGCGTTTCTTTGAGTGGGAAAAATGACACATAATATATTTCAAATCAGTTAATTGTTTTGAACTCGTATTTAATTTGACCTAAATTATAAATTATGCTGTTTAAGGTAGCGAGACTATTATTTGTGTTGAAAATTACGATTTTCACATTTATTTATTAATTGATGAAATGCACCATAAACTTTCATATGATAAAAAGTCAATATAACATAGAATGTCATGTAAGTTGGTTAAAATATAGATTTTCTGAAGGGAAGCAAGGCAGCCTCAGTAGTGTTTTCCAAAATCAACAACACAGGTTTAATCTGTGTGCCTATAAGTTTCAAAGATAAACTCAAGACAAAGCAATGTTAGGATGTGTTATCAGTAGCTATCTGACACACAATGAGTGTTTCCAAACATTTGAGTGGTTTGTCTCCGCCCCTGTTTGTTTCACAGATTAGTCATTTGCATATGAATGTGTCAGACACAAGGTCACACAGCCACTGAAAAAAAATCATTGATTTTGGTGTTTTCATATGCCGAATTTATCCAATTATAGCTATCCCATTCCTTTATTTTTTTGGTTTCCAATAGCCTTACACATTTGGAT